CGCGAGAGGGGTGGCGGTATTTTAGGCGGTTGTGTGGTTCAGCAGGAACTCGGAGGCTCCTCTCCCGGGAGGCGCAGGCTGGCTTCCTGCAGGCCACGCGGGCTCCGAAGGCATGTGGTCCTGCTCGCGGGGACCCAGGAGCTATTAATATTCCTGCAGCCATAGGCAGGCCCTGGGCTGCCTGGACCTGCTCTCCTAGCCCTTTGGGGCACATGCCTTGGAGCCCCGCCCTCTCCCACGAGGCCCCTGGTGGGGCCAGATGCTCTGGGCCATAGGGCCAGCTCCCTCTTTCTGGCTTCTCTGCCTGGCCTTGTCATCCCTGTGGCTCCTAGGGTTCAGTCACCTGCCCCCCAGCTGACAGTGGGCCCGCTCCTGTGCCCCCGTTCACGGTGTGGGGTGGGCCAGCAGAGATGTGCTGACGGGCCTGCTCGCTGCAGCCACCTGCTGGCCAGCGGGAGAGTTGGGGTCTGAACCCAGGCCTCTGCCCTCACTTCTGTCGCAGCACCATGGGCCTGCCCATGCCTGTGCTCACGCCTGAGGTTTTGGGGCACTTCCATGTGTCTGGCACCACACCAGGGCCTCACTCCGGTCATCTCACATGATCCTGGCCGCCTGGCAGGGTGCACACCTTCCTCCCTCCCTGCCCCCTGGCTGAGGACCAGAGAGGTGACTTAGTCCCCTGTGCTCCCACCATATCCCTGCCTCTCCCACTGTCCTCTGGGGGCTCTGGCTGTGGGAGACCTATCTGCCTGGGTGCTGGGTGGGTGGGCCGGGGTCCGGCCCTGGGTTTCGTGTCCTGTTCCTCTTTCCCAAGCTGTCTCTGACTGAGGGCCCCAGGGGCTCTGGGCGTGGGAAGGGTCTTCAGTATCTGCTGCCCAGAGGCCAGCTTGGGGTCAGACCTGGCCCTGCCTGCTGTGGCCCCACGGCCCCTGCTGCCCAGCCCCGCATGAGCTTTCAGGCCTCAGGAGCTCTGAGGCCTCGGGCTGTGGGCCGCACCTCCTCTCACCTGCTTGGAGGAGGCTCACATCCCCCTGCTGCTCCTTCCCTCCCAGTGCAGCCCCTCTGCACCCCTACTGTCCGGACACTGCCTGGGGGCTCAGGGAGAGAGGGTGGCCAGGTTCTTCTCTCAGGGCCTCGCTGGCCTGGCCCGTGTGCTTGGGGTTTGGGGGCCTCAGGGCCCAGGCGAGCGTGCTGTGTTGGGCTGACAGGAAATGAGTGGAGGGGGAGGAAGGAGCCGAGGCCTCACGGGCTGAGGCTGGGGTGCCTGCTGGGCACTTGCCGGTTTCCCGGGCCGTTGCACACTTAGTGGCTCTGCACCGGGAACTCCGGAGTCTGTCCCCTCCCTGGGAACACAGATGCACAAGCAAGGGGATCCCGAGTGGCTCTTACAGCTCAGGAGGGGAAACGGATGATCCGGCTTGTGGATTCTCCGAATAGCTGGGCTTTCTCCAGGCCCTGTGAGCTCTGCTGGCCGGACTGTGGTGCCGGGCCTGTGCTGCCCGCTGGCCTCTCGCCCTCCTGCCAGCAACTGGCCCTGCCCCCCACCGGGAGGGGGCTGGGGAGCCCTCACGCCCGCCTCTGGGCATCTCCCTGTGCCCGGGGCTGCTGGGGGCCATGCCACTGGAAAACTTCAGTTTCAGGGTGACCCAGCCCCCGGGGGGCTGCCCATGCCCCCGCAGTGGTCTGTGGCCTGGCTCCTGGGGGGCTTGGTCTGGGGCAGTTTTATATTTAGCTGGGCCATGGCTGCTGGGCCACTCGAGTTACATCTGCACAGAGGCTGCAGTGCCAGGGCAGGCGCGGGCTCCTTTCCAGCACCGCGGCAGAATTTGATCGCGCCCGCCGGCCCAGAGCCGCTCGCGTGGGGCGGTCCTTGGTGGGGGCTGACGGCCGGCAGCTGGGGTGCTGGCTGCGACGGGCAGAGCGGGGTGCCATGGACCTGAGCATGAGCGTGGTGACCCGGGAGGCCAGCCAGGGCCTTGGCCCTGGCCTCAATGGCCTCCCCCGGCCCGCACCCCCCAAAGTGGCCAAGAAGCCTAAAAAGGCCGTTCTCTTCTTTGAGGTGGAGATTCTGGATGCGAAGACGCGGGAGAAGCTGTGTTTCCTGGACAAGGTAGCGTCGTGGTGCTGGCTGCATGGGGCTAGGGGTGCTGGGCCGGGACCCACTCCTTCCAGGGGCTCCTGCCCCGAGGGAGAGGGCAGTGCCCCTCCAACTGGTATCATGATGCCCCACCCCTGCCCCTCGGGTGCATGAGGGGCACAGGCCCCGGGCCTGCCCCAGCCAGGCGGCTACCCCTGGCCCTGGGTGTGGCTGGGAGCTGGCCCCCCTGTGCCAGTGGAGACGAGGCAGCCTCCGTGGACCCCGCAGAGCCTTGTGTCTGGGAAGGAGGCTGGCTCTGAGACCTGCCCTGCCGACGCCTGGCCACGGGAAGGGCTTGTTCCATCCCAGGCTGTGGGTGGAGAGGGGAGGCAGAGACGCAGGCCGGCTTCCCGTGCTCAAACCGCCTCCCAGCCAGGCCGGGGCGTCCTGGCTGCCTGGTACAACTGGGCCCTCAGGCCCCAGGTCGTCCCATTCTGGCAGGGCCCTTGCTCTTCTCTGCTATGCGGGTGGGGGGCCTGGACTCCAAACTCCCTCCTGTGGCAGCTGCCCAGGCCCCTGGTCCATCCCCCCAGGAGGGATCCTGGATCAGGGGTCTGGGCTCCCCCCAGGGCTGACGTCTCTGCGGCCTGTGCTTCCCCCAGGTGGAGCCCCAGGCCACCATTGCTGAGATCAAGAACCTCTTCACCAAGAGCCGTGAGTCCAGGGCCCAGCCCACTGCCCCCTGCGACCCCTCTGGGCAGGGCCTCTCCCAGGGCCTGCAGAGATGCCCCCAGAGTGGCCCACTTCCCTGGGGCAGGCGCCCCTGTGTGGCCATTGGCAGGAACGCCCTTGCTGGCCTTCGGCAGGACAGCACCCGCCTCTGCCCTCCTCTTCCTGGCTGTGTCCTGGAGCCACACGGGCCTCAGAGGCCTTGTCCAGGGGTGGGTGGAGCTGTGTGGTCCCTGGGCCCTGCCAGGGGGTGCGCTGTGACACCCCGCTTTCCCCGCAGATCCGCAGTGGTACCCTGCCCGCCAGTCCCTCCGCCTGGACCCCAGTGAGTACAGCTGTCCCTCGGCCGTCCTGGGTGGCTGTGGGCGAAGGCCTGGGTAGCCCCTGAGCCCTGGCCTGTGCCTCCACAGAGGGCAAGTCCCTGAAGGATGAGGATGTCCTGCAGAAGCTGCCTGTGGGCACCACGGCCACACTCTACTTCCGGGACCTGGGGGCCCAGATCAGCTGGGTGACGGTGAGTCCTGAACTCGCCCACGGCCTCATCTGCCATCAGCCACACTGGGTGACCCCTGTCCCCACGCCCACAGGTCTTCCTGACAGAGTACGCGGGGCCCCTCTTCATCTATCTGCTCTTCTACTTCCGGGTGCCCTTCATCTATGGCCACAGATATGACTTCACGTCAAGCCGGCACACGGTGGTGCAGTGAGTGGGGTCAGTTGGGGGGCGGAGGGAGGAGGGGGTCTGCTGGGCAGCCCAGCTGAACCGGCTGCCCCCCCCAGCCTGGCCTGCATCTGCCACTCATTTCACTACGTCAAGCGCCTGCTGGAGACACTCTTCGTGCACCGCTTCTCCCACGGCACCATGCCCTTGCGCAACATCTTCAAGGTGAGCGCCCTGGCCGCCCACCCCACGCTCCAAAGGGCCACCCGCTGGCCCCAGGCCCCGCCCTCCACCCCCACCTGTCCCGTTCCCTTTCAGAACTGCACTTACTACTGGGGCTTCGCTGCGTGGATGGCCTATTACATCAACCACCCTCTCTACACGCCCCCCAGTAAGTGGCCTCCACCCTGCTCCCCAGGAGCCACCCCTCCCCACCCACAGGCTCTCCCCTCACCATTACCCCTCTGCTTCCCCTCCAGCCTACGGGGCTCAGCAGGTTAAACTGGCGCTCGCCATCTTTGTGGTAAGGAGGCTGGGGCGGATGAGGGGCGGGGAGTATCTGGGGGCTCCAGACTGACCCTGCTCCTCTGACAGATCTGCCAGCTTGGCAACTTCTCCATCCACATGGCCCTGCGCGACCTGCGGCCAGCTGGTGAGTGGCCTGTGGGGGGGGTGGGTCGGGCTGGGCAGGCTGTGCTGGGGGCTCTCACTCACCCTCCCCGTCCTGCCCACCAGGGTCCAAGACCAGGAAGATCCCATACCCCACCAAGAACCCCTTCACGTGGCTCTTCCTGCTGGTGTCCTGCCCCAACTACACTTATGAGGTGAGAGTCTGCCTGCTCCCCTCCTGGGCCTGGGGTCCCCTGTGGAGGGGCAGCTGCTTTTGTGGTTTGAACATGGAACTCGGAAGACGCAGAGCCTGTGGCCTCTGTGGGGCTGGGAGGTGTGTCAGGCTGGGCACGTGGCTGTCAGCGGCAGCTTCATCGCCTTTATTCGAGGCCTTGGCTTTCGGTCCCCACCCCTCACGTGTAAAGTGAGGGTTGGGGGAGCTGCCCGCCTGCCCGCCCTCACCTGCTGCTCTGCCCACAGGTGGGGTCCTGGATCGGCTTTGCCATCATGACTCAGTGTCTCCCAGGTGAGCGGCTCCCCTCCCTCAGCGGGCCCTGCCTGTCTCGGCTGCGCGCAGCCATCGCTCACACCCCTGCTCTGCTCCACAGTGGCCCTCTTCTCCCTGGTGGGCTTCACCCAGATGACCATCTGGGCCAAGGGCAAGCACCGCAGCTACCTGAAGGAGTTCCGCGACTACCCGCCCCTGCGCATGCCCATCATCCCCTTCCTGCTCTGAGCTGCTCGCCTGCCTGCTGGCCTGGCCACACCGGGCTTGCCCCAACTGCCGTGTCCTCTGGGGAGGACAGGGGGCCACCGCCCTCCAGTGCTGGAATAAATGCTGCCCGCCCTGCGGCACTGGACTCTGGCTCTGTGTGCTCCTTTCGGGGGGTGGGGACTGGCGACCGCAGGGAGAGACGCGGCTCGTGCTGAGGGACCTGGAGACTTTTATTTCCCACTGTCCACATGGTGGCGGGTGGGCCCACTACAGGGCCACCTCGGGATCCACTTCGCCGGGCCCCTGGCCCCTGGCTGCGTCTGCCTCCCTCTGCTCCCGCCTCTTCTTCCGCTGGAGCAGCCGCCGCTCCCGCTCAAATTCCTTCATGCGCATCACGTAGCTGTGGGCAGAGGGGAAGGGTATCGGGGCGTCAGGGCATTAGGCAGCCTGGCCAGACACCCTGGGGTGGCCTCTGAGGGGGAAAGGCCCATGTGCCTGTGATTTAGGCCTGGAGGCCAGCCGAGGCTCCCCCCCATCCCCTGATGGACACCAGTGAGTCCTGGGTAGGGCTGGCCTCCTGGCAGAACCCCGGCTGGGCCGGATATCCGCCCACCCCCCAACAGGCCCTGAGACCCCTCCTCCCACTGAGCAGCCCGGCCTGGCCAGAAACCGTGCTGGTCCAGTCCTCTGCCCTGGCGCGGGCGGGCTGGGGCTCACTCAAGGTGCTCGCAGTGGTCCCAGGCGTGCCGCTCATGCTTGCAGGCCAGGAAGTTGGGGAAGCTGTCCCGCTTGCACTTGAGCAGCCGGATGAGGTGGTGGGCACAGTAGTCCCGCTGCTGGAGCACCAGCTGCGCGTCGTTCATTTGCTGCTGGGTGGCCACCATCTCTGCAGGGGGCGGGAGCGGCTCAGTCAGGGCTTACGTTGTGGGGGCCACCTGCCCGAGACCCCATCATGCCCAAGTGCGGAGGAGCACCCCCCCACGGACGACTTGGTGGCAGTGGGTCACAGCACCCTCTGCCAGACGGGGGGGTCTTTCTCTAACCCTTGCAAAGGCAACCCCGGCACTGAGACGGGCAGGTGGCTCCCTCCCCATCCCCGGGGAACCTCAGCACCCACACTAGGGGCCTGCTTCCTGCCCCCGGGCAGCTCTCAGAGAGCCCCAGCCTGCAGAGCCTGTGCCCAGAAGCCACTTTCCCCCAGGGCTCCCCTCTGCCCGCACAGGCCAGTGTGGGGCCCGGCTGCTGGGGCCTCTGAAGCCTCAGCTCCCTCCCAAGGGGACTGATGGCCCCGGCCACAGAGCCAAGCCAACTGAGCGGGTGTTAACACCCACAAGTGTGCAGGCTGAGCCTCAGAAGAGACTGGAACTAGCCCTTGGTCCTGACGCCCCACTGACCAGGCATGACCTGGCCCCAGACAAACTCAACCTTTAGGAGGCCGGTGGGGGCTGTCAGGAATGGTCGGCATGCGCCCGGCCTGCGCCCACTGTGTTGGTGATCCTGTGTGCCTGCACTGGCCTCACCCAGCGCCGGCCACTCGGCCCAGCTGCTCGCAGCTCAGCTGCAGGCCCTGTGGGCTGGCTTCTCTCCCCTCTGTGTCCCAGTGCGTTTCTGTCTCCCCCGGCCCAGGTCCTCATCTCACACCCCTGCATCCCACTCGCCCAGCTTCCATGCTCCCCCCAGCACTGCCCACACTGGGCTCTCACCAGGGCCACCCAGACCCCAGGACGCCACGCCGCCTCAGCCTCTGGCTTGCTTCCTCTCAAAGCATTCTCCCCGGGGGTCCTGTGCGCCACACCCGCCCTGGGTCCCTCCCATCACCACGGCTACCCAAACATTAAGTGTTGGTGAGAGCCCTCTGCTCGTTCTGATCCATGGCTTCGACTGCCACCCACAGGTCAACAGGCCCCAACTTGGTCCCCCGACCTGTGTATCCACCTGCAGGCCCTGCTGGCTTCCATGGCCACCCGCACCTGGTGCTCCAGCTAAGCAGCCAGGATTTAGGGAGCACCTGCCGTGTGCCAGGTGTCGGAGGTGCAGCAGGGAACACGTCACGCAAGCATCCCTGCCCTTGGAAGGACACAGAGCAAATGGTAGTGTTGCGGCAACGTCCGGAGAAAAAGCAAGAAGGGACAGGGATGGGCAGTGTCGGGAGGTGGGTCATGACTTTAGATGGAGGGAGTCCATTGGAAGGTGGCATCTGAAGGTGAGGGAGTGATGCACACAGACACGTGGGGGAAGAGCCTTCCAGGTACCGGAACAGCAGGCACAAAGGCCCTGAGGTGAGAAGACAGGGTCAGGAAGCTCCAGGGCTTTCGGTGGGAGCTGGAGGGAGGCACAGGCTTGGTGGGGAGGTCAGGAGCTCTGCTGTGGACCTGCTGAGTGCGAGATGCTCGTTAACATCATATGGAGACGCCAAGCAAGCAGCCCGGTCTTTGTGTGGAGTCAGGGTCAAGGCTGGGCTGGAGAGAAAAACTTGGGAGGGTCGGCACACACAGGGCATTTGAAGCCAGGGGACTAGCAGAGAGGGCTAGGGAGTGATGGAGACAGCAAGGCCTGAGGCCTAGGGCACCCGAACATTCACAGGACGTGGAGGTGCGGACGAGTCCGTGAAGGAGCGCCCAGTGAGGTGGGCAGGAATGGGGGGCGCTGGGAGCCAGGTGAGGGAGGCTCCAGGAAGCGGTGCGATCAGCTGTGCCTGATGCTGCCGCGGTGGGTTAGTTAGAAAACTGACAACAGCGGTCAGCAACACGGGCGGGGGCTGATGAGCGCGCCCGCAGGGACATGGGGGCCGGCAGGAATAACAACCTACTGCGCCCCGATGCGACCCCTGGGGCAGCCCTCGGCGAGACGAGAGGATGGGAGGAGGGCACGGGGACCCGAGCAGGGGCCACGCTCCCGAGTGACAGGAGAGAAGGCGGAGTCCCAGGGATGCAGGAGGCCGCGAGGGCTCTTCTGGATGCTTCTATTTTCTTAGGACAAGGATGCAAAGTGGCCAACTGGGCGGAGGCGGGAAATAGGGGAGGAGTCTGGGAGAGGGCGCAGCACAGCGGTCCAGGATGGGGAGCGCTCAGTGCGTGGAGACAGGAGCCCGGGGGAGCGGGGTGGGCTACCAGAGTTTGGGTTGAGCCGAGCCAGCGGGAGAAGCGCGGGCGACGGGGCCGCGGGGAGGACGGCCCGGAGCCGGGGCGCCGAGGGGGCCGCTCCCCGCGTCCTCTCGAACCCGGACTTCTCGGTCCCGGCCCCGCAGCCCGCGCGATCCCGAAACAGCGGATCCGATAGCGACCCTCCTGCGCCTCGAAGCAGTGGGCTCCCGTCTCCGGTTCGTCTCTCGGGCCCCGCGGCAGCGCCGCCCCCGGAAGGCCGCCCGGCAGCCCGCAGCAGCGCCCCCAGCCCTGCCCGCGCCCGCCGCCTCCCCGCACACCGCGAGCTCCGAGCCGGGCCACGGTGACGCCACTCCCGGACGCCGCGGCCGGCCGGCGACCCCAAGAGCAGCAGCGCCCCGCACCCGCGCCTCACCGCGCTCCTTGCGCCCGGGGAAGCCGTAGTCGGGCGGGAAGGTGGGCATCCGCAGCGGGTCGGGCTCCCCCGACGCGCCGCCCAGGTAGCGCCGGGCCAGGTGCGCCCCCATGGCTGCTGTCGCTGCGGGTCCCTGCAGCGGCCGGGGTCACCTCGCTCCTACCCGGAAGCACTCCTCTGCACCAGCCGGACTTCCGGGTTGCGCGGGCCGCGGCAGGGATGATAGAGACGAACGGCTCCGGCGGACTTCCGGTCTCTCGCCCCCTGGCGGCCGGGCGGAGACGCACCGCGCCGCGCGCCCCCTGGAGGGGTCCGGCGGCCGGCAGGAGGGGTCCTCCCCGGCGGGAGGCGGTGCCGGCGGAGGAGGGGACCGCGTGGGCCGGCTGGAGCACAAAGTCAGTTATTTTTCATATCATATTTCAAAAAAAGGTCCTTCTTCGAAAACATTGAAATGTGTCTTAAAAACCCCTGCAGGGTGTTGATGACATATTTAGTGACTATCAAAAATTTAAGTAAAGTTATTCAAAATAAATATTTTAATTAATTTAATTTAAACAAGCAAATACAGTTATTAATAAATAAAACGATTTAAAGTTTAAAATTTTAATAAATCTTATTGAAAACTTTTGTAAAAAAAAGTTGCAATTCTAATACCCCTCTGGTTGCCACTGTAAAGAGTAGGTATTACATTTCGCACCTGTTACATTGGGGCTCGCATATATGTAAATTTAAGAAATAATACATTGTTTAACACTGCCAAATACTCCTGGTCTCCCTCAGTGTGCCCCTCCATGCCGTGCTGGTTTGTCGCTCTCTCTGGAATCCTGGGCTGGAACCCAAGGAGAAGCCTTCCGTGGGTGCCTTGCAGGGCTGGGAAATGAAACTCGGTTACGCAAGAATAGATTTCATTTGACTGGTGTGGGTTGAATTGTCACCCAAATTATTTGTTAAACTCCTAACACCCGAAGCCTTTGAATGCGCCCTTATTTGAAACCAGGGTGTTTGCAGATGTAATCAGTTAAAATGGGGTCATCCTGGGTTAAGGTGGGTCCTGATCCAATGAGGGAAACTTGGAACCAGACACCTGCACAAGGAGAAGGCCGTGTCAGGGGGAGGCGGGGATCGCAGTGATGCAGCCACAAGGCCGCCTGGAGCCGTCTGAAGCTGGAGGAGCAGAGTCTCCCTTGGCCACTGGAGGGAGCTCAGTCCTGCCCACATGTTGACTTCAGCCGTCTGGCCCCGAGAACTGTGAGGGAAACACTCCTGTCGTGTTAAGCCACCCAGCTTGTGGTCACTTGCTGCGACCGCCCCAGGAAAGGAAGTCAGCACCTTCTAGGTGGAAAGGCCCACGTTTGTCTCCGGATGCGTCCTCGCCCCTGAACTGCAGGTGCACAGACGTATCCAGCCACCGACTGGCACCTCCACGTGGGCGTCTCCAAGGTCACCTGCTGTCTCAGTCAGCTCAGGAAGCTCTAACGAAGCACCACAGACTGAGGGGCCTATAAACAACAGATGTTTACTTCTCACTGTTCTAGAGGCTGGGAGTCGGGATCAGCTGCCGGCAGGTTGGTTTCCGGGGGGAGCCCTCTTCCAGGCTGCAGACGGCCACCTTTTTGTTGTGTCCTCACAGCGTGGAAAGAGGGCCAGCTCACTCTCGTGTCTCTGCTTACAAGGGCACTGCTCCCACTCGTGCGGGCTGCACCCTCACGACCTAGTCACCTCCCAAAGGCCCCGCCTCCAGACACCATCACATTGGTGGGTAGATTTCAACATCGGAATTTTTTCCCCGGGGGACACAAACATCCGTTCTAGGACACGCTCACACCACACTCCTAATTTCTCCGTGCTCTCTCTCCTAACCCTCCTCTCACTCTGTCTTCCTGTCTTGGGCAACAGGGGCTCCATTTTTCCAGGTGGTCAGGCCTCAAACCTTGGGGTCATATTCCACTTTTGTCCTCATTCCAGGCATCCAAGTCATTGGCAGATGCCTTTGGCTCCACTGTTGGAATTTATCAAGAACACAAGCCCTTCCCACCGCCTCCTCTCCAGCGTGCCTGCATCGCCTTCTCCTTGTCCTCAGCTTCCCTGACCTCTTGCCCTCGGGGTGCACCTGTCAAAATGGAAATCAGGTCGTGTCGTTCATCTGCTGAAACCCTCCATGGCTCCCCGTTTCATGTGGAGTAAAAGCCTGACGCAGCCTGAAAGTGTCTGTCTCAGCAGGTCTGCGGTGACGCCCCAGAATCTGCATTTCTAACGTGTTCCAGCGTGCTGGTGATGTTGCTGGTCTGGGAGTCACTCTTGGGAGAATTGCTGAACTAGATTTTTCTGTGCTGATCTGGGAAAGTGGCCGTGATATGTTGTTAAGTGAAAAAAAGCAAACTATGGAGAATAGACCAATGGTGAGCAAGACTTCCTTTCCAGGGCTACCTGTGGCCAGTCCCCAAGCCATGGCCTAGATTTGTGATGCTTGTGCCCTTCCTGACTCCAGGGGGCAGCATTCACATTGTGGTCTTTGTGAATGGCACTCCTGGAGTTGTGCAGTGCACAACCCATACAGCTGTACCAGGCAGCCCTGCCCTGTTCTGGGTTTCTCTCCTCCCTCTCCCTTTCTTTTTTGCTTCAGCTGCTCATGCAGAGGTCAGAGCTGGGAGGAGACCCAGGGAGACAAAATCATGGTCCCAGCTCACTCACCCTATTTGACCTTGGGAAGTCACCTCCGCTGTCAGAGACTCAGTTTACTCATCTGTAAAATGGGATTATAGATATTTACTGGCATCTAACTTGAGATCTATTTGACTCATTTATGTTGTCACTGTTGGTCTCTCCTCTTGAATGTCAGCTTCCCGTACAGTGCTGCAAAAGGGAATTTCACCTGTCTTGTTCGCTGCTGTATTTCTGCGCCTGGAATGGTGCTGGCACACAGTAGGTGCCTAACAAATATTTGTCAAATCAAAGAAAGAATAAATGAACAGTCTGGTTGGGAGGAGTCAGTGATGGTTGCGTGGAGAGCCCCCACTGCTGGCACCTGGTAGGCGCCCAGCACATGCTCGCTGCTGTCACTCTCGTCCGGGTCACCTTGTCCAACCAGGAGGCCGGGGCCGCAGGAGCTGCCTCCGGGGCGTCATCCACCAGCGGCTGAAGGCTCGGGCGGGGACGCGGCTCGTTCCGTCCTGAAGTCCCGGGACTCCGATGCTTCCGCCTGGCCGGCCCGGGCTCCGCGTTGGGGACCTGGGGGGGACGACGTCAGGGCGAGGCGGGGGCCGGGCCTCGGCCACCCGCGCCCACAGCCTTGCTGCTTCTCCTTTGCGACCATCCGACGGGGCGACCTTCCAGTGTCCCGGCCGCAGCCCTCGGTGCTGGGTCCCCGCCCCTGCGTCCTCCCGCCCGCCCGCGGGTCCCCCTGCTGCGTCCTCCCTCCCGCAGGTGCCCCCTCCCGCCTCCTCCCGCCCGCAGGTCCCCCCCCTCCGCCTCCTCCCTCCCGCAGGTGGCCCCCCCTCCGCCTCCTCCTGCCCGGCCGGCCCAGGCGGGGCTGCGGGACCAGCCTTCGAGCTGCACCCCCTCGGCGGCAGCTGAGAGCGGGCGGGGCGGAGAAGGAAACTGGGCGGCGCCCCCACCCCGCGCTCCGCGGCTGGCGGTCGACGCTCGGGGGCATTCGTTTCCGGGGGGGGGGCAAGCGGAGTCGGTGGGGCCTCGAAAGCCCCCAGGGACGGACTCGCGCTGCAAGCGGGCAAACGGCGCGCCTCCAGTCTCGGCCGGGGGCGGGGCGCCGGGCGCCGGGGGATCCTGGGGGCCGGGGGGTCCTCGGGATCCCGGGGCCGGAGGCTCGCGCGTCGCGAGTGTCTGCAGACGCGGGTGGGAAGATGCTCGTCGCTGCGCGAGGTGACGAGGGTTCCAGCGGGAAGGGGCTCTCGGACGCACGTGGAGTGGATTTAAGCACACGTGTCAAAAAGACCAGCGTTTTTACGAGTGTTCCTTGCTTGTCTAGTTGCGAACAGTGTTATGTTAGTGAACGGATGTGTGGGCACTTCTGTAATATGCGTAGGGAAGTGTCTAGAAACACAGGTAAAGACGACGTTTCTGAGTGTTACTTGAAAGAAAAAGAGAGAAAGATTCCTGTCTGGGAGCGCGCCCCCGGCCCGGCTGCGCCCACGCGTGGCTCTGGGCTGCTTCCACTGTCACTTAAACATATTTTTAACTTTTGACCTCCTCTTTGACCCGCGGTGTAATTTCAGTTCCAAATATTTGCGGATTTTCCAGCTCATTCTGTGATGTCTAGTTTAATTCAGTTCCGTTCTGAGAACGTGCTTTGTATGCTTTTCACTCCCTGATCTTCCTTTTTATCGCACCCCCCGCCCTCCCGCCGTGCGCACCTGGTTCCTCTTTCCTGCTTTATTTTTCTTCTTCTTCTTCTTTTTTTTTTGCTTATGACGATCTAACCGAACTTCTGAAATATTTGCCTTATTTATTTTATTGCTTATCTCCTTCCGTCTTGCTACTCCCAAAGGTAGAGATTCTTTTCTTTCTTTTTTGTTCACCGATGTATCTGCAATACCTAGAACAGAGCCTAACACACAGTAGGTGGTCAACACATATCTGTTGAATGGATGAGGAACAACTGAATGCCCAGTCCCCATTGGGCGTGTCAGGAGGCCGTTGCTCAGAGCTGTTCTCTGCCCCTGAGGTCACAGGGCAAGAACGCGGCAGAACGGGGTTGCCTGGGCCCATGGCCTTGTGTTGTACCCAGTTGGTGGCACTGGATTCGACCTGCAATCCCTGGGCGCCTCCTGCGCGCCTGGTCCTGAAGGACGGCCTTGCACGTGCCGCTGTCACTCACCCAGCGAGAGCATCCAGTCTTCACGGCACGTACCTTGCCCCGGGCCCCCACCTGCAGAGGCGCCCTTGGCGGGCAGAGGTGCTGTCAGTTCTCTGGGTTGGGTACCCCCGCGTGCCCCCCACCCCACCCCCGCGTCCATGGGGAGCCCGAGGCTCCGTGTGTGCGCTCGGAGAGCATCCTTGCTTCCTTCTCAGCCGTGCAGGGTCGCTGTGGAGGACGGAGCAGCCGCACCTCTGCCGCGCGCGGGTCCCATCAGCAGGTCAGCAGCGTCGCGGGGGAGGCCCGGGCCGGCGGCCTTCTCCGGGAGGGAGGGGTCTGTTGCGACCCGGGGCCCCGGCGGGGACGCGGAGGGGGAATCGCGGCGCGCCTGCCCGCAGCCCTGCGCCCGCCCCCGCGCCCCCTGGGGCGCCCCCGCGCTGCTCCATCCCGTTGGAATTGCCTCCTTTTACTTTCGGTGGAAAGCCCCTAAAAAGAGGAATTGGGGTCTGGCCCTTGGGGGAAACATGTAATAGTTTCCTATGGTTAGTGTAACAAACGACCACAAATGTGGGTGAGAACAGCAGAAATTGGTTCTTTCACGGTTCCGGAGGTCAGAAGCGGAAACCTGCTCGCTGCGGATGAAGCGACCTGCGCAGCCAGCGCCCGACGCGGTCGGGACGCGGCCTCCTCGCCTTTTCCGGCTCCTGGAGCGGCGTCGCTCTCGTGGCCCCTTCCTGCATCTTCAAAGCCACCGGCACAGCATCTGGCTTCGGAGACAGGGAGGGAGACGCGGGACACGGACACACAGGGGAGGAGCCTCTGGCGGCCTTGGCAGAGCCTGAAGGGAGACCCAGAGGACCTGCCCCGGGGCGTCAGGGGGAGCCGGCCTGCCCACCCCTTGATTGCACTGTTTTTTTTTTTTTAAAGATTGGCACCTGAGCTAACAGCTGTTGCCCATCTTCTCTTTCTTCTTCTTCTTCTTTTTCCCCAAAGCCCGCCAGTACGTAGCTGTAGATTCTAGCTGTGAGTGCCTCTGGCTGTGCCATGTGGGATGCGCCTCAGCGTGGCCTGATGAGCGGTGCCATATCCCTGCCTAGGATCCAAACCGGGGAACTCCCTGGCGGCCAAAGCGGAGCGCCGGCACTTAACCACTCGGCTGCGGGCCGGCTCCCAGACTTTCTTTACCTCAAGATAAATTGTATATTACTGCAATATTTTAAAAAATAAGAATAAATGGAAAAGGCCATGATGAGCAAAATATCAAAAGTTTAAATAAAGACAGACACTGTTTTTCTCTCAGCTTTATTGAGATATAATTGACAATCAAAAATTGTGTGCACGTGGGCCAGCCCGGGTGGCCTGGTGGTTAAATTTGGGACCCTGAACTTTGGCAGCCCGGGTTTGGTTCCCGGGGCAGACCTACACAACTGGTCTGTCAGTGGCCATGCTGTGGCAGTGGCTCAGACACAAAAAAGAGGAAGACTGGCAGCAGATGTTTGCTCAGGGCGAATCTTCCTCAGGAAAAAAAATGTCTACATTGAAGGTGTATGACCTGACAACCTTGTGCATGTGCACATTATAAAATATTCTCCACGACCTAGCCGATCAACACACCCGTCACCTCACATCATCCTCTTCCTTTTTTTTCGTTTTCTGTGGTGAGAACACCCAAGATCTACCCTCTTAGCAAACTTCAAGTACACAGTACAAACTGCCGAGCACTGTCGCCTTGCTGTGCTCAAGTTCCCCAGAACTTAGTCATCTTGCAAAACCAAAGCTTTGTACCCCTTGACTGACATCTCCCCATTCCCCCTCTCCCGGCCCCTGGCCACCTCCCCTCTGCTCCTGGGAGCTGACGGGACACAGGGCGAGGGCAGGGCACCGTCATCCGGGGGAAGGGAGCCGGCGGCCGGGCGGGAGCACGGCTCAGGTGCCGGCTACGTGGTGAAGGTGGAGGCGACCAGAATCACTGGCGGACTGGACCTGTTTCCAGGCACCCAGGGTTTCTGATGGCGTGAAATACTCACCTCTAATGCTCACGGCTCCATGGGACGGGGCTTGGGGGACTGCGTCCTTCTCTCCCCACCGTCCAGGGCCTCAGATAGAAAGACCAAAGGGATGGAGGTGACTCCACCGTCCTGGGGCTGAGCCCTCAGGAGGGGGCTGGGGCTGCTGCATGGACCCCCCCGGGAGGTGGGGCCTCCTCCCAGGTGGCGCTGGGAGCAGGTGTGGTGAGAGCCAAGGGGAAGCTGCAGGGCTGGTGTCACCACCTTCTCTTGGTTACACGAGTCACTAAGGCCCAGATTCAGGGGGCGGGGAATTCAGTTCTCCTCGATGCAGTGGCAGGGTCACGCTGCACAAAGCCAGGGAGGACAGAGACGTTGTCGACCACCTTTTGAAATTCAATTTGCCGTAACCATGGGACGAGAGAGAAGAGAGGAGTCAAGGATGATTCCAAGGCTGATGGCGGTCCTTTTGAGAAACACCCCAGGCTGCCCTCCTGGGCGGGGTCTTCCAAATGGCTTCAGGCTGGTGACGCTGCAGCTTATGCTCAGCTCGCAGGAATGTGGCATGTCCTTGCTGGACCAAAGATGCAGCTGCTTCTACCGTGCTTTTTTCCATGTCCGTCCTTTTGCTTCCTGCTGTTTTGGGGGCAAGTCAACCCTCACCCCTTGGTTTCCCCGTCGGGTGACGGTCTCCCTCCCTCTTTAGCTCTCTCTGTGTGAATCCCCTCTGGTCGATGTCCAGCTCAGAGCCAGGAACTTTCCTTTGCGAGGTCAGCGTGCACGACTGTGGGGGCCACCCTCCTACGGCCTCAGTGATCCCTCCGTCTTGGTGTCCATGTCCTCGTGTGTCTCCTCCCCAACGACGCAGAGCTCGTCCAGGTGATAAGTAAAGTGTAGCAGAGATCACAGTTTGTGACTTTCGAGGTTAGATCACAAAAGGCGTTGTGTCCTCCACCTCGGCCTCTGCCGTGTTGTGAGGACACTCGATTGTCCCTTTGAGAGGAGAACAGGGCGGGGAACCAAGGCCTCTCACCAGTAGCCAAGTGAGTGCGCCATCTTGGGAGCAGAGCCTGCAGCTGCAGGCCAGCCTTTGGAGGACTGCTGCCCACCGACACCTCGACGGCATCCATACTCGAGTCCCCAGCAGGAGCACCCAGCTAAGCTGCTCTCGAATTCCTGGACCACAGAAACTGAGATAATAAGTGCTTATTGTTTTAAATCACTAAATTTTGGGATAATTTGTTATGCAGCCATAGATAACCGAGCCAATGTGCTAGCACTTCACTGTGGAATGTGGGAGTACTTAGCACCTATCACTTTAACATCTTGTTACAGGGGTCACCACCCCCAGGAAGTCTTCTCTGATCACCTCTCTACATTAGCCCACATCCTATCCCACTACCATGTTTTATTTATTTTTTTTAAATAATAGTCACTATAGGAAATAAAATAAAAAAACAAACTATAGTGTTTATTTCTGTATTCCGTTACTGGTTTATTGTCTCTCCTCTCTCCATGGAAAGTCCTGCCAAGGAAGGGGCTTGTCCATCTTCCCACCCAGGGCCTGGCGCTGTAGGGGCTCAGGGAAGGGGCTGCTGTCATTCTTGCCTCTACGCATGAATCTAACCTGGGGAGAAAGTGTGTGTGGGGGGCCCTGGGGGTTCCCCTCAAGATGGATTTGCATATTCTTGACTTTTAAAGAAACAGGGAACTGAGAGAGGCCCCAGACGCGTGAGGAGGAGGGACACGGAGCAGACCACCAGGCTCTGGCCGCCCTCCTCGGCCTCCTGCGTGGGCCGCAGCCATGCCCACCCTGTACAGGAACTCTCTGGGCAGGAATGTGCCAGGTACAGCGCTGGCCAGGCACGGCCGGGGGCGGGGGGCGGTCAGGACCCAGTTACAGCACACCCCTGGGGCTAGAGCCCAGGGCGTGAGGGACCCAGTGGGGAGCGGGCTGGGCCCTCACTGCCTTTCCTCTGGAAGGGAACAGAGACGAGGAGGAGGAGGAGGAGGATTATGAGAACATGGCGCCACCCTACAAGGACCTTCCTCCTAAGCCGGGTGAGAGGACTTCCCAGAGGCCAGTGAAGAGATGTGTGGGCTGGGGGTGGCGGGGGGGACGGCCCCCGGGGCACGGTAGAGCCATGGCCAGCTTCTGTGTGCCCGGCTCATGCCAGGCGCCGTGATGGCGGGAGTACCGGTGCCTCTGCCTGCCCTTGAGGACCTGTTAGTCTGATGGGGGAGGCAGTTCTGGGCGCTGGCTCAGGGGAGCAGGTCTGAGGGCAAGGGCCCAGGAGACTGAGGAATCCTGAGGGGAGTTGAGGGCTCTGCTGCGGTGTGGGGGCTGGGCGTCAGAGGACGGGACACTGGGGTGAGCCTTGAGGATGAGAAGGAGTTTGTTAGGAAGAGAAGCCCAGAAAGGAAGTGGTGGATACAAAGGCCCAAGACATGGAAGCCGGTGTTTCAGAAACCGCGAGTGGACCGCGGACTCCCCAGCCTCCAGGCGTCACACCCACGGCCCAGATTTGCCTTCAGGCTGGTGTGGCCCATGCCTGGCTGGGGACTCAACGAGAGTGTGATAAGTGGGGATAAAAGTGGAGGTTTTGGAGGTTTCCCTGAGTCAACCCCCACCAGGCCCCTGAGAGCTGACCAAGCTGCCCTGGTGTCCTTGGGCAGGGGCCGTTCCTTGAGGGGTAGGGCTCCACATCCCCCACTTCTGGGTCCAGACAGGGTCAACCTGGGAGGTCGCAGGGCACCCTGGGGCTCAGCATGAGGTGGGAGGTGAACCGGGCTCTGCTGTTTGGTTGCCCGTCTGCAGCTCCAACCTGGTCCCAGCCTGATCGTCAGCCCAGCCCCAAGACCAGCCCCATCCCCACTTCAGGATGGGCCGCGCCTGCCCCCAAATTAGCACCCCCATCTCCAAATGCAGCCACGTCTCCATTCCCATCTCCATTTCCCGATCCAGCGTCACCACCACGCCCCAACCCAACGACAACCCAACCTCACCTTCTTCCGCATCCCCCACGGCAGCGACAGCCCCACTCGTCATTCCCGCCACCTCTGGCATCACACCCCTGCTCCATGTTCATCACGCTCCCCAACCCGATTTCAACCCCATCCTCACCATGGTCCCATCCCCACCCCCAAACTCAACTGCGCTTTAACCTAGGGTGACCAACTGTTCCAGTTTGCCCAGGGGTGAAAGATTTCCCAGGACGCGGGACTTTCAGTTTTAAAACTGGGAAAGTCCCGGGTGATCCAGGATAGTTGGTTCCTCTGTCTTGGCCCTGTCCCGTCCCTAACCCTCCACTGCAGTCTCCATCCTGCCCCCGTCACTGCTGTCCCTCCCCTTCCCATCCTCGGACCGGCTCTAACTCTGAGCTTCTCTTCCTCAGCTTCGATGGGTCCACCACGACCTCCAAGGGCAGGTGAGCTGGGGCCGGGGGGACAGGAGACCCAGTGCCAGCTTCGCCCTGCTCTGGGCCTGAGCAACCAACCATTCCTCCCTCTTCAGGAAAGAAAACGGAGAAGCCCCCAATTCCTTGCAAACCCCCAAAGATCACAGGTGAGCACCAGGGCCGGTACCTTGCTGTGCACCTGGCTGAAGCCCTGCTCTGCGTGACTGTAGTCCTTCTGACCCCTTCCTTGCCTGGACCTTACCCCTGTCACCTTCACATCTCCTCACCTGGGTGAGCAGTGGGAGGACCCTTTAAAAATCCTGAGAGGGGCCGGCCCGGTGGCGCAGTGGTTAAGCTCGCACGTTCCGCTTCTCGCCAGCCTGGGGTTCGCGGGTTTGGATCCCGGGTGCAGACATGGTACCACTTGGCAAAAGCCATGCTGTGGTAGGCGTCCCACATATAAAGTGGAGGAAGATGGGCACGATGTTAGCTCAGGGCCAGGCTTCCTCAGCAAAAAGAGGAGGATTGGCAGTAGTCAGCTCAGGGCTAATCTTTTGCAAAAAAAAAAAAAAAAAAAAAAAAAAAAAAGAAAGAATCCTGAGAGGCGACACTTGGAAGTCCTCCTTCTAGTCCCCTGATTCTGAGCAGAGAACAAATCAGAGGGAATGCAGGGGTTGGTCTTGGAAGACAGAGTCTTCCAGCACCTTCCGAATAACCCTCTCTCCCTCTTTCTCCCAGGCGTCGATCCGGAGCGCCCTCCGTTCCGGCCGTCCCTAGGCAGTAAGTCCTCCAGGGGGGCCCCTGTCGACCCTCCCATGTGGCCAGTGTGTCTGAGGCAGACCTTTAGCACCAGAGCGAGATCCTGGGCCAGAGAAACTTCTCCTTTGAGAAGCAACTCCTCCCTGAGTCTAGACCAGACTCCCAGGGACCCAGGTGTCTGCCCGGCTCCCTTCAGGCCCCACCACCTGCTCGCGGCAGGTGCAGGAAATGTTCTCGGTCCCGATGGAAGGTCCACACGCTTCCTTGGATGGGAAGCAGCTTGGGCAGGGGCTGCTGGAGAGTACACGGTAATACATCATCGATGTGAAGAGCAGCGCTCAGTCCCAGTCATGCATTACCTCTCTGAGCCCTCAGTTTACCTGCTTGCAAAGTGGGAATATTATTTACATCTGCATCATAGAGGTGAGGCTCCGACAAGACAGTCAGGACGTAGTGGGATGCTTGGCACAGTGGGAGCTCTGTCACCGCTCTGGGCTCACTTCCCGCGACGCCCTCTTGCTGGCCCCGTCTGGTGATATAGTCATGATCACAGAACTCTGTCCCCTGCTGTTGGAGAAAGGCTCAGGGGGCCCTTCCTCACTCTGGAGCGCCTGTGTCAGTCTCTGTCCCCATCCCGCCCCCAGCCACTCCAGTGCCCTGGCTCGGTCAGAAGCCCGGGGCCCTTGGCTGCCACCAGGAGGAGAGGCTGATGGTGTACCTGTGTCTGCTGGTGGTGGTGTCACTGCTCCTGGGCTGCACCGGTCTGGCCGTGACCCTGATCAAGTGTGAGTAGGGTGAGGGTAGGGCATGGAGGGAGCTTGGGCACGTGGCCCTGGGGGACCTGGGCTGAAGCTGGCTGGACTCCTCTTACAGACCAGGAGGTGGTGGAGGAGCTGAGGGTGCTCACCTTTCAGCAGATGGCGTGGCAAGTGAATGGTGAGCGCTTCCAATCTTCTCTTCTCTTGACCCTCAAACCAAGCTCCAAGGCCAGCCCAACCCCGTCTCTGCCGGACCCTGTGCCCGGTGCCGGGGATGGGCAGGATGGGGAGCACAGCAGATGCAGGCCGTCTCTGCGGCCCGTGCGCGCGGGCGCTGGGCCTCCACTGCCCCACCCGGGGGCGGTGGCGCGCTGCAGCTGTGGAGCCCCCGCACTGTGTGCATTCTGCACTGAGATGCGCGTAGGTGTAAAACACACCGATCCCAGAGACTCGCTGCAAAAAATGTAAAGTATCTCAGTAATAATCTTTAGTATCGATTACACCTTGAAAAGATAATATTTTGGATGTATTGGCAGAAATAAAAAAGAGCATTCAAGTTAATTTTACCTGTTTCTTTTGACTTCTAAAAACTGTGGCTACTAAAAAATTTAAAATTACCTACGTGGTTCACAATTTGTTGCTGTCGGACAGCACAGACAGACGTTTACCAAATTATCACCCAAATGAGTATAAAATGCCAAATTTTGATGAATAGCCCAAAGTAAGAGGAAGGCAATTCTATGAAAAAGTCTAATAAGGGACCTGGACCTTATCTTTGGGAGGGTCATACAGGGCTTCCCCAGGGACATGGTGCTGCAGCTGAGTGAAGAAAGAGAAGGAGTTAACCAGGTGAGGGGTTGAGGGTCTCAGGTCTGTGCAAAGGCCCTGTGGTCGGAGGCAACATCATAGGTACAAGGGAGGAGGATGGTACAGTTGGACAAATGAGAGGTAATGGTGGCTTGGATGAGGGTTGTGACCCTGGGAATGGAGAGAAGTAGTTGGAATAGAAAGTTTTAGGAGGTAAAATTGACCAGATCCCTGGGGAGGGATTGGGAATGGTGGTGAGTGGGAGGGAAGGGTGTCAAGGATAACGTATATGTGTTATCTATGTATCCATCTTATATTTCTGTCTTGTCCCACTGCAGGGCTGTCCCCTGAGGCCCCCAGGGAGTGTTGGAAGGGGGCGTGTTGGTGTGGGAGTAGTGGGAATATGCACATTAGTTGTGGAAGAGTCTTCTGGGCTGGGCTGGCCCTCACCGTGATTGCTGACGCCTGAACAGTGCTCCATTCCACCCTCCCTCACCTCAGACCCCAGACCAAGCCACTCCTCTGCTCAAAACCCATCAGTGGCTTCTCCCTGTCCAGAGTCCAAGGCCAAACCCTTGCCTTGGCATTCAAGGACTCAGACGTGGAGCCTCACCCTACTTGGAGCTCAGCTCCTCTGAGCTTCCTCTCCAGCTCTGCTGCCTTCCCCAACATGCCTGCCCCCACCATTGCTTCCAAGGCGGCCCCTGCCTAGTGTGCTTCTCCCTCCCCCTCACAGTTACAGAATCACCGTCTTCCTTTAAAACCCACCTCCTCAGGGAAGCCCACCATCCCCACTCTTCCCCAAGCCCCAGGGATCAATCGCTCCTCTGAGCCGCTCTAGGACTCCCGCTGGGTGCTGAGCCTGTCGTTCTAGAGCTCTTTGCTTCTCTCTGGTGTGTCTGCTGTCAGTGCTGGGTGGGTGGGCGGACGGGGGTCTGGGTCTCTAACGCTTCAGCCCCTCCCTGCTGACAGTGACTGGCCTGGCGGGGCTGGCTGGCCTGAAGAGGGACATTGACCGCATACGAGCCGACACCAACCAGTCCCTGGTGGAGCTTCGGGGCTTATTAGGTGAGTGGGGCCTGGGCAACTGCCCTGGGATGGGGGGCACGTGGCACAAGTCCGGGGGAGTGAGTCTCAGTGCAGTCTGTGCGAATGGTGGCCCTTGCAGCCTGAACAACTGTACATGGCACACCACGTACACAATCCTGGCTCTGGAGCCACTCTGACAGCATCCTGTCCTGTCCCCAGACTGTCCCAGGGTCACCTGCCCTGAGGGCTGGCTCCCCTTTGAGGGCAAGTGCTACTACTTCTCTCCGAGCACCAAAGCGTGGGAGGAAGCCCGGAAGTTCTGCCAGGAGAATTACTCCCACTTGCTCATCATCAGCAACTCTGCTGAGCAGGTGAGTGCTCCCTCCGAGCCCTGAGCACCAGCAGGCCACCGCCTCTCTTCCAGGATCCCTGCTCCCCTCCCTGGCCTGGGGGAGAGAAATGGGATGGCTCCTGAGGCCTGGACACTTTCAGTAGCGAGCTCTCACTGAGACAACGTCGTGAGGGCTTGTGTCCATGCAGCCTCTGCGCACCCCCACTTCCTCCCCAACGTGGAGACGGAGAGATGAATGTGTCTCAGGGAGCACGTTCTACTCTCCAGGCTGTGTTGCAAACGTCTTACGTCTTGTGTGTGTTAACACAATCCTCACAGCAACCCTATCAACTAGCATGTGAGTCAGGAGAGGCCACCGTGTGCTGGAGGAACAGACAGTCCACAGCTCAGAGGCGAAAGCACGTCACGCGGACTGTGGAAGCTTTTGTAGCTACAGAGCAAGTCTCGCGGGCTCTCCTGTGCTGTCAGGTGGCAGGGAAACGGTTCCACCTCTGCACATCTGCAGGGAGCATTGGGATGTGTAAGCAACGTTAATGATTTGGTCCCACAGTTAGGTGGTAACACCGCTTGGACACAGTACAATCATTGATTCTTCACAGATGAGGAAACTGAGGCACATTTCACCTAAGCAACTGGCCTGCGGTCGCTCACGACTAGTCAGCGGCAGCACTGGCATTTAAGCCTGGGTGACTGGTTTCAAAGTCCGTGCTCCTGACATGAGCCCCCAGCACCACTGAGCAGCGTCTGCAGGATTCAGCTTTCCCGTCCCCTCACTTTTATCCCAGTTACGGCATTTTCTTTCTTTCTTTGTTTATACTGCACATATAACATTATGCTACTTTCAGGCATGCAACATAATGATTCCATATTGTACGTATTGCTAACTGATCACCACAATAAGTCTAGTTAACGTCCACCACCCCACATAGTTACAATTTTTTTTCTTGTGCTGGGAAATTTTAAGATTTACTCTCTCAGTGACTTTCAAATATACAACACAGGATTATTAACTATAACCACCAGACTGCACATTACAGCCCCAGGACTGACTTATGTTACAGCTGGAACTTTGTCCCTTTGACCACCTTCACTCATTTTTCCCACCCTCCAACCCCCCCCACGCCTGGCGACCACCAGTCTGTTCTCTATATCTATACGGGTCATTTGTTTTTGGTTCCACATATAAGTGAGGTTATATAGTCTTGGGCTTTGTCTCTCTGACTTATTTCACTTAGCACAATGCCCTCAAAGTCTACCCATGTTGTCATGAATGGCAAGATTTCCTTCCTTTTTCATGGCTGAATAATATTCCAGTGTATAATACACCACATCTGCTTCATACAATCATCCATCGACAGGCACCGAGGTGGCTCCCAGGTCTTGGCTGTTGTAAGTAATGCTGCTGTGAACGTGGGGTGCAGATACCTTTTTGAGTTTCTATGCCATTATTTTTAAGTGAGTTTCTTGTAGACAGCATATAGTTGGGTCCTGTTTTTATTTTTTTAAAATTTAATTTGACAGCCTCTGGCTTTTAATTGGTGTTTTTAGATCATTTACACTTAATGTACTCGTTATTTGGCTGGTTTAGGTATACCTTATTATTATTTTTTCCTGTATGTCCCCTCTCTTTTTTTTATCTTTCTGTTTCATAGCACCATTTGTATGAGTAGCTAATATAGAGGAGTTTTGGGGGATTAAATTGCATAATGTAAGAGGGGCAGGTATCAATCATAGAAACACAACTTTGCTTTAAATAACTCACCGAGCTCCTCTTTTGAGCTCTCATTATTCCTGGATGGTGGACGTTTGATTTCAGTCAGTTGAGGTCACCCATTTTTCTTCTGAATGGGGACAGTTATGTGGGAGCAAGGTGGAGGCGAGTGGATGTCTAGTCCTTGATGTCTTTACTCCAAGCTGGTATCTGCTGGGACGTCCCCTGGCTGAATGGTCCTGAACAAGTTATTTAACCTTTCTGTGCCTCAGTTTTCCCACCTATAAAATGGGGATAATAATAATGCTTGATTTAGTGGGTCACAATGAGGATTAAATGAGATAATCTATGGAAACTGCATAGCTCACTTAGTAATTCGCTAATTCAGCCAACGTTTCCTGAGCGCCTACTATGTGCTAGCACTATTCTAATTTGATGGGCAAGGCAGCCTTTTTCTCTTTCTGGTTTCCTGACACCTCTCTGGTGCTTTACCCAGGAAGCAAGGCCCAGGTCTTCTCTACTTTTTGGAGGCTCCAAACCCATCTGGGGGTTTGGCCATCACGTGGGGATCATCGGGGTGAATGCAGAGCCCTGTCTGTGGCACCCACTGTGTCTACATCTTTAGAACTTCTTTCCCATTGCAGCCTCTTCTCTCCACCCTCCTGGGAAGCCTGGTCTCATATGAGGTTGGCTGAGTGAGGTATGATGAGCACGCAGTAAAACGCACAGATCCTGAGCATCCGTTCCGTGAATTTTGACATCTCTGTGCAGTGCACCCCATACCTGCCAGCCCAGTGAAGACTCAGGACATTTCCACCACCCCAGGGAGTTCCCTCCTCGCTGTCAGTTGCCTCCCACCCCACCCCAGGCTGCTGCTGACCTGGGTCCCCTCACTGTGGGCCAGTGTGCCTGGGGAGGAGTTGCTTTTAATCATGATATTTTCTTCCTAATCTTCTGTCTTTGGCCCGAAGTGTTTCTTCCAAAGGCCTGGACTTTTGAAATACAAAAGCCAGGAAGCCCCCTTTCTCTCCTTTCTTTTCCTCTTTATGTTCTTTTTCTGAAGCAATGAGTTCCTCTTCTGCCTGGTGTGGATTAGCATGCAGATGGGGAGAAGCACCAGGGCCCGCACGTCAGTTGCTGTCGTTGGCTGTTCTCCACATGTCGTGGCCCTGAGTGTTAGACCGCCACGGCACTTGCTGTGCGCCGGCACGGTTTTGAGCGCTTTATGTGTTAACTCATTAAATCCTCACAATATCCCGGCGAGGAGGAAGCTTCTATTGTCCTCTCTTGTTGCAAATGAGGAAACTGAGGCACAGAGTGGTTCACAGGTCGTGTGAGAAAGTAGTGTGATCCTTCGCACCGCAGCGGAAGGAAGGTGTTGCTCCTGAAGCGCGCGCCCTCGGGACGGGGAGGGGCGTGCGGGACAGAGGAGAGCCCAGAGCCTTGCCCTGAGGGTGGTGTGGAAGAATTGATGGCTGAATGGAGTTTGTCTTTGCAGAACTTTGTGACCAAGGCTCACGGCTCTCCTCGGGTGTATTGGCTGGGGCTGAGTGACAGGGACCGCGAAGGGGACTGGAGGTGGCTGGATGGGTCGCCTGTCACTTTGAGGCAAGTATCCAGGGCTCCTGGGGTCTCTGCTCACTTTGGTCGTTGTGCAGTTCAAGCCCGGAGATTCTCTGGAGCCTCAGGCTGGGCTGGACCGGGGAGCCACAAGGCTGCTTTGTTCTAATAGGGCTTCTGGCCCCTGTACCTTTAAGGTTTCTCCTATTGCAACATCTCCACCTTTTAGCACAACTGCTCTGATGTATCAAGTCCCCAGGCCAATGTTTGGGAAAAAAGAAAGCGGGGGAGTTGCCTACAGGGCGTGAGGAAGAGGAAGATTTGATTTGCAAAAAGGATGAGCAGGATCTCCTTTTTTTCCACTCTCTCTATCTTATCCCATTTACTCAGCTTCTTAATACTCCTATAAAAAGGTACTATTATTACCTCCGTTTTAAAGATGAGGAAACTGAGGCACAGAGAAGTTAAGCAACCTACCCAAGGTCAGACAGCAAGCAGGTGGCCATGCAGCCAACCTGGCTCCACTCTCAGCCATTACATTTACTTTCTCAAGGAGTGCATGTATTCATGTTTTATTTAATTTTTTAATTTTTTTGAGGAAGGTCAGCCCTAAGCTAACTTCTGCCGCCAATCCTCCTATTTTTGCTGAGGAAGACTGGCACTGAGCTAACATCCGTGCCCGTCTTCCTCCACTTTGTATGTGGGACACCTGCCACAGCATGGCTTGATGAGTGGTGCGTAGGTGCACACCCAGGATCCGAACAGGTGAACCCCGGCCCCTGAAGTGGAACAGGCTAAGTGGGACTTAACCGCTGCACCACCAACCGCCCCTATGTATTCATATTTTAAATAAATATCAGCAAATCGTCCCTCATACTGATTGTACCAATTTATTCTCTCACCAGCCCTACTACACTGTTTTTGCCCACATGTTCATAAAACTTTGGGAATTTTGTTGGTTTAATTATAGGTGAAAAGTGGAGTCCCAGTGTAGTACTAATTTGTATTTTTATTATAAAGACTGAGACTGGATATGTTTTCATATGTCTGGCAGCTATATGTATTAACCTTTCTGAGAATTATCTATTCGTATTGTTTGTGTCTTTATTTTGGGATTCTGGTTTTTTTCTTATTGATTTCTAGGAGCTTTTTTTTTTTTCGCTTTTTCTCCCCAAATCCCCCCTATACATAGCTGTGTATTTTACTTGTGGGTCCTTCTAGCTGTGGCATGTGGGACCCGCCTCAGCGTGGCCTGATGAGCGGTGCCATGTCCGCGCTCAGGATCCGAACCGGGGAAACCCTGGGCCGCGAAAGCGGAGCGCGCCAACTTAGCCACGGGCCACGGGGCCGGCCCTCTAGGTGCTTTTTCTATATTAGAGACGTTAGTGTGTTGTCCGAGGGTCTCATTTTTATTGACGGTTCCTGGAAGGAGGCGCAGTTCCGTCAGTGGGGATGGCGTGGCGGGGCAGGGGCGCCGCGAGGACCCCTCCCGGGCCGGTGCAGCCGTCTCCGAGCTGGGCGCGCCGGCTGCCAGCGGGTCTCAGTGACGCTTCCCGCATTCAGTGTCCTCAGCGAAACGCAGGCCCGCCCGTCTGGGTCACCCCGTCCCGCTGGGGTCAGCCCGCGGCCGGTGGCTGGCGAACAGAAGCCTGGACCCCCGTCTCAGGCCGGGGTAACCGTGCTGCTGCTCACGCTCCAGAGCTCCCGGGGGTTCGGGCTGAGGCCGGACCCCGAGCCCGCATCCTTGCTCAGCTCCGTGCTCTGCTCCGTGCTGTGTCTCACTGCCTCTCTCCTGAGAGCACCCCTGAGTGCCCTGCGCCCGAACTGCTGAGCCAGGCTCCGCTTCGGGGGAACGGGACCTAAGACGGCACAACGCCTGGGAGCCTGGGAGGACCCGGGTGTGGCCGAAGGACTCCTCGGAGGAGGAGGCAGGACCTGACCAGACGCAGGAAGCCGATCCAGGAGTCAGTAGACTGTCAGGAAGCGGGGCTCAGGGGCGAGCGGGGCTGAGGGGGTGGCGCAGCGTCCTCAGGCGGTTCTGAAAGCCTGGAGAAGCGGTTCAGACGGGAGAGAGCCGTGCTGCTGCTGTCCTGCATGCGCGTGCTGCTGTCCTCCGTGCGTGTGGTGCTGCTGTCCTGCATGCGCATGCTGCTGTCCTGCATGTGTGTGGTGCTGCTGTCCTGCGTGTGTGTGGTGCTGCTGTCCTGCATGCGTGTGGTGCTGCTGTCCTGCATGCGTGTCGTGCACTTGTTCCAGTCGGTGAACCAGTGTGGACACATTATTGGGAAGTGAGGCTCACCCTAGGGTTCGCCTTTTCTGTTGTACATTCTCTGGGTTTTGGCAAATGCACAATAGTAGTTTCCCTGCCCTGAAAATCCCCTCTGCTCCACCCACACCTCCTGTTTCCTCCATGCAGCTTCTGGGGCCCGGAGGAGCCCAACAACCTCCACGACGAGGACTGTGCCAGCATGAACCAAGGGGGCACCTGGAATGACCTCTCTTGCGACATAACTACGTACTGGATTTGTGAGCGGAAATGTTCCTGTTGAACCCCAGGGCTGAGGGTCCACACCTGAGTGCCCCTCGGCTCTTGGAGACAAGAACCACCTGCCCTCTGTGACTCATCATAGACGCGCCCTGGATGTCGTGGGTCCCCTGGGTGCAAGTGAGCCCATTTCTAGGGCGAGGGCTCGCAGGCCTGCTCAGCTGGATGGTGTCTCAGTCAGTTTGGGCTGCTAGAACAGGACACCACAGAGTGCTGGCTGCTCAATGACACATTTATTGCTGGAAGTTCTGGAAGTTAGGAGTTCAAGATCAAGGTGCGGGAGATTCTGTGTCTGGTGAGGACCTGCTTCCTGGTTCGAAGATGCTGTCTTCTCGCCGTGTCCTCACCCGCTGGAAGCGCTGAGAGCTCTCTGGGATCTCTTTATCAGGGCGCTAATCCCGTTCAAGGGGGCTCCACCCTGACAGCCTCATCACCTCCTGAAGGCTCCGCCTCCTCACCCCATCACTCTGCGGGTTAGATTTGATGTAAGACCAATTTAAAATACTAAGGTGCATGAGGGAGCTGTCCTGGTGTAAACCTGCTCTGGCCTGGATTTTGTTTTAAGCAGAGCAGCCTGACTTGCGGCCTGACAAGCACACGTTGCACATCTGCTTTAACTCGCTGTCCCAAAGCAAAGGACGCCCTCTGAGCTCCTCCCTTCCTCTGAAGTCTTCCTCTTTTGAAGAAAAGTTTCTCTTCTCAGAAACCGAGGTCGGGTCGACCTGCCCTGTACGTGCTAAACTGCAGCAGATATCTCCTGGTGACTTTGGAAAGAGCGTGTCCCTGTGGTGCCTGTTGCACGTTCTCTGTTCTGAGACGGCAGCTGATCCTGCCGCAGATGGCGGGAGCGCATTCTTCCTGTGGAGCCGGCCCACCCATCTCCAGGAAGGCTCGCCTTCTCCCTCCAGTGGTTTTTGGTTATTTGCGTTGACGTTTCTTGGCATTTTCAGCAGAATTTCAGGGAAACCCACCTGAGACCACCTGGAACCTACTTTGAGCCAGCGCTTGGCACCGGCGTGGGCCCCTGAGCCCCCCAGCTTCACGGCACTCGCCGGTGCCTCAGTGAGTTCTGAAGCCAGACCTCCTTGTTCAAGTTGTAGGTCCTTTTCCTTGAGCTGTTTTGAGTCTTAAGACTAGGTGTCTTGGGGTACACATCCTAGGTCAGAGGAACCCAGGGGGAATTTCCTAGGCTGCGGGAGCCTAAGGGCAACTTTGTAGTCAATAGGGCTGGCTAACCTCTTAATTTAGCTTCAAATTGGAAAGAATTGTGTCTATAAAGTCGGAACAAATTGTTTGCAGACTTTATAGTAAAATGAAACTAAAAAAAAAAAATGGGGAACCCATGCTTCTACAGCCGATGGGCTCCTGGCAGGCAGCCCCCGGGCCTCGAGGCTTCCTGTGCGGTGCTTGCAAACGCTTAGCAAGTGGGGACCGTGGCTGGGTCTTTAGATCAAGATCCCCTGGGATAATTTAAGGTTACAGAGGCCACTCTGGGGCCCCTTTGAACTTCTAAACTTGTCTTTCTGTGTGCTGGGTTTGAGAGCCACAGAACAGACGGAATAAATGCAATTTCTCAAGTGCCAAGCTCCCACTGTCTGGCACAACCGCTCAAAAGCTGAAGGTTCCAGAGGGTAAATGTTTACACAGAACTGCAAAATCCTACTGAGCTTGTCTCGTGTCCTGACAGCTTGACTTGGTGACCTTCAGGTTGGGGCCCAAAGATACGGATGAAGAGAGGTGCGGGTTGCACCCCATTTGCAGTCAGATGTGGTCGAACAGAAGTGCGGGTCGCTCTCTGTTCGTGGCCATGGTCCTGCCAGTCTCAGGGGTCACACTGGCCTTAGAAGGGACGTTGCAAGCAGGTAAGATCATTTGAAAAGTGCACTTAAAGGCAAAGGCTTCAAAAATTACAAAATAGTCTCACTGAAAGCAATAAAAATTGTTATAAGAGGTACCTTATAATAGAAAAATCTACTAAGTTCGGACTTCACAGACATCCATGTGATCTATTTTCGAAGGAGCGCCCAGTGTGAGACCTCCCAGAGCTAACGAGACTCAGAGATTTTCTGGGAAACTGCTGTTATTCCCTTAAGTGGTTAAGGGGAAACTAAAATTAAAAATTAATGGAATTGTTTAATACTGCCCGAAACACACTTTGTATCCAACTATTCTTTTATAAATCACTGAGTTTTGTATTGTACCTGATTCATAACAAAAATTCAAGGAAAATTATTTAAGGTCTCTGCTTGCATCTGTGTATCTAGGTGTGTCTCTATGTATCTCTATGTATCTATATATATGATGTATATGATATGATCTATATCTATATATATGATGTTTTTCTACCTTTGGATGGTGTAATTTCTAAAGGAGCTCTATTTAATTGGCTTAAAGTAAGCGCTTATTTAAATTATTTCTAAATATAATAGAAATGAACTCAAATGTCTTTCAAGTCAACATGATATAAAATAATCTTTGGTAAATGAAAGCTTATTTAAATTTGTTGGTTTGATTGAAATAAACATGTTTTCAGAGTTATCAGCATTGGATATGATACGGATGTGTTACCTCTGTTACAAAATTTGTCAGCAAGAAATAACTCATCTTATTTGTATAATGTCTCATGAAGTTTTTGTAGGCATAATCTAAATATAATTATTGGAAACAAATAAAGTAAATAGATGTGAAAAAGATAAAAGTTTTTTTTGAGAAATTTTTAACAATAATTATGTGTTATGGTGTAGATACTTAACTTCAAAACATTTTGATAAGTTGAAACCTTAGAGTTTGGCTAAATTAAGTTAAATGATAAACATTTATTGAATATCTAGGTCATTTCCACATAATATAAAATATTAGAATTAATGACTAAACATAGATTTATCTACCTTTGGCTTCTTATTTCAGAGAAACTGGACAAATACTTGGGTTTATTAGTAAACGTGCTTTGTGCCATGCTGAGAAATTTTCTATGAGAAACATGTTTCCAGACAGTCTTTGTAGGTCTGCCAATCTACAGGATGTTAGTAGAAAAAAATAAGGAGAACATCTCTGTGTGCAAGGAAAGCAAGATGCATGTTTTCAGTAAAGAAGCCACAAGGAATGGAGATATTTTTGTTTGTTTTGTTAAGAAAGATAAATTTGGCCTAAAGCACTAAGAAGGAAAGAAGGCATGGGACAAATTCTGAATGTAAAAAGACAGCGATAGAAGGTTTGTAGAAGAAAAACCCTGAGGAAAGAGTTTTGTGCGTGGTCAAGTTGGCGAAGATTGAAATGAATTAATAAGTGAACATTTTAATATCAAAAGTAAGCTGGTACAAAAATGAGATTTAGTTTTCTTTCTCTTAAGAGGATAATGTTTTTTGACTTTTAGTCTTCTCTTGATAAAGAGATTATGAAAGATTTTTCTTGACCTTAGAGTAAGTCTACCTAAAAGGCAAGGATTCTATGCTTTGCCAAAATAATTTTTTTATGTTCAGAAAGAGTATGGGTTATAAAAAAATTATGTAAAATTCCCCCAAACTGATATGTCCTTGTATAATTCTAGTCATTATCTTTTTTTCCCCTAAACCACAAGTTAAGAGTACTAGAATGGCTTTATCACGGATTTAGGGCTGTAGCAACATCAATGGTGTGTGAAATCAAATGATTCCTCTAGTCGTTATTTTAAAATGTTATAACCCAATTTCCTTGTCAGTTGCATTATAACATTAAGGCTTCTGTCATCTACAGATAGTTGTTTTACTCTGGCACTTTTGCAAACATGTTTCATCTTCAGAGAGATTCATGACAAGGATTCTGACGTTCACTCTGGAATGCAGGTTTCTGATGAGCTTTCAGATCCTAAAAATGAACTGGGTAAGAAATCACAGAACTCTAACGGAGAAACCGATGGTTTCACAGAAGTGCTAACAAACGGACGACTGAGGGGGTTTCTGGGGCTGCCTGGGTGTCTAACTTTTCACTCATTGCTCAACCTTTATATAAATTACTTAGGTTTGACCAGTCTGATTTGATTGAATGCACCTTGCTTCCAGCACCACACGAGGAAAACAACCAGGACCGCATTTTATTCACAGATTACCCTCTTACTCCTAGGAACAACGTACAAGAGACGCCCACGGATAATGCTGGTCTGATTTGGTTTACAGATGGGTCCTATTTAAAGGATGAGCAAGGACATTACTGGGCTGGATATATAGCCTGTCCAGCCTCGAGAATGCCCACTGCTCTCTGTTGACCCTGCTAACCCAGTGAGAGATTTCCTTCTACAGGCTCAAGAAATCACCACAGAAGAAAAGAAAGAAATTTGGCAACAAAAAGGGGGAACTTTTGAGCCTGCCGTGTAAATGTGATTTGGACTTGATAAAGCCTATGGTACTTGATATAAATGGATTGCACACTTGCCATTACTCTATGTACACCATTCAACTCATTGGGCACCTGAAAAGATGATTTCATAGGGAAAACAATATTTTTGGAAACTCTCTCTCACAGTGGCTCATAAAGAATATTTTTCTTTTACTCTTTGTCCTAAATATAATTCCAGGAAACCACTTTATGGGTCACAAGGCCACTTTCCCCTTCCTAAGGGACCCATTGAGCTATGACAATTGGATTTTGTTCAAATGCCACCATCTCAAGGATACAAGGATGCTTAGTAATGGTTTGTATGTTTGCACGTTGGGTTGAGGCCTTTCCTTGTAGAAGAGCAGCAGCTTAACTGTAGGTAAATTGTGTTGAAAAGGATAATTCCTGTTTGGGGAATTCCTATCAAATTACACAGTGAGCAGGGAACTCACTTCACTGGACACATAACTAAATCCATTTGTGGCATTTGCCCTGTAATACAGCACCTTGACTGTGCTCATCATCCCCAGTCCACGGGATTCGTGGAAGGAACTAACAGCACAATCAAACTCAACTGGCAAACTTGCAGAAGCATTTAGTCTCTCAGGGCCAAGAGCTCTCCCGCTGTCGCTCCTCAGTCTTAGATCTACACTCTTTGGTAAACATCCGCTGTCTGCTTTTGAAATAATAGCAGTACAGCCTGTGCAATTAGATGAGGGGATGTATGAACCAACTTAGCTCAAGGGAGATATATCGCATTGTTGTCAGGGTCTCACTGAGACGTTAAAAAGAAATAAGAAATTGGTAGCAGATTCTTTTCACAGTGGGCTCCCAGGAGATGAAGACCTTCAGAATCATAGGCTACAACCTGAATATTTTGTTTATTGGAAGAGGCATCAAACAAAATACTCTTTTTAGCGCCATTGGAAAGGCCCATACAAGGTACTCTTTTTTTTTTTTTTGAGGAAGATTAGCCCGGAGCTAACATCTGCTGCCAGTCCTCCTCTTTTTGCTGAGGAAGGCTGGCCCTGAGCTAACATCTGTGCCCATCTTCCTCTACTTTATGTGTGAGACACCTACCACAGCATGGCTTGCCAAGCCGTGCCATGTCCACACCCGGGATCCGAACCGGTGAGCCCTGGGCCGCCGAAGCAGAACGTGCAAACTTAACTGCTGCACCACTCTGCCAGCCCCACACACAAGGTACTCTTAACCGATCCATGCACTGCAAAATTAAAAGACATAGACTCATGGATTCACATTTCTCATTTAAAAAAGGCCCCTCCCCTTGAGTGGATTTCGACTCCTGTTTCTGACACACGGCTTTGACAGACCAAGACAAATACCTCCAAACCAGGATGAGAAGAAGATGGCATCTGTTGTAGACAGCTGTCCCAAGACTCTAGACCAGGCCTGTATTCCCAACCTCGTATCTCCTCATTTGAATCCTTGTAATGCTTAAACTACATGCCTACTTTATAATTGTGATTCTTTGCTCAGTGTCGTAAGACTGGCTTGCAGGCTGGAATGATGGAAACTCATTCTTCTAAACTGATCGCTTCAAGTATTAAATTTATTACCATTGTTACTATATCTGTTCTATAATGTTATGAACGGTGTAATCATAAGAAGTCATGAAAAGCACATGTACAGTGTCTGTGCAATAATTTAAAAATAATTGACGTTACATAACCTATGAAATGCTTCCCTTGTTGACATACACCTCCATGCTTGTGTGCTAAGTTTGGCTGTTTCCCCACATTGTGGATAACTGGGAAAATTAAAATAAAGCCCAGCTCTGAGGGAGATGATGGGACCAGGACAGGAAGGAACCACTCAGGCATTGAGGGACAGTATTTTGATCATCAATACGTTCTATTAAAAAATTATTGATCAAAAGGGGAACATGATGTAAGAAAAATTTAAAATACTAAGGTGCATGAGGGAGCTGTCCTGGTGTAAACCTGCTCTGGCCTGGATTTTGTTTTAAGCAGAGCAGCCTGACTTGCGGCCTGACAAGCACACGTTGCACATCTGCTTTAACTCGCTGTCCCAAAATGAAGGACGCCCTCTGAGCTCCTCCCTTCCTCTGAAGTCTTCCTCTTTTGAAGAAAAGTTTCTCTTCTCAGAAACCGAGGTCAGGTCGACCTGCTGTGTACGTGCTAAACTGCAGCAGATATCTCCTGGTGACTTTGGAAAGAGCGTGTCCCTGTGGTGCCTGTTGCATGTTCTCTGTTCTGAGACGGCAGCTGATCCTGCCACAGATGGCGGGAGCATGCTCTGCCTCATGGAGAATGCTTCTCGGTTATTTGCGTAGACAGACTTGACATATGCACTTTGGGGCACACACATGCAGTCCATAGCAGATGGTGAGCTGGAGGGTCTCCCATTTCTGGGGTCTGGAGGAAACTCAGTAAGTCCTGGATTATGGTTCTCAGGAAGGGATGATGGCCCTGGGGCCTCCAGGTCTGACACTGAGTTGGAGCTGAAAATACCATGCTCCTCTGAACCATGATGAGCTGAGGGTGGGCTCCTTTACTACCTACCGGATGTGGACCAGCCTCTGGGAAGTGGCTGGGGCAAAATGATTCTTGACAAGCAACTTTCTCGATGTCCCAGGTGAGGTTTACCCAAACTAGGTGGCAGAATCAGACATCTGCCAAGACTTGGCCCGTTGGACTTCCAGAAAGGCAGACTGGCTGACCCAGGGTGGCCAGGCCAGGCCAACACTTGGTCAGATCCTCAGGACAACAATGGAGATATATACCTGCATGTGCCTTTGAGCCGTCTGTGGTTGTAAAGACCTTAGATGAAGTAATTCACTTTACTTGTGAGTGGATCTTCTTGGCTATGGGCTCTTGCAATGTTAGAACGTCTCAAGATGCCAGTTCACCCTGTGGTCCTTGTCCACTGGGTTGGTTTGCTGGGGCTGCCGTAATAAACTCAGACTGGCTTAAACAACAAAGATTGATTGTTTCAGTTCTGGAGGCTAGAGATCAAGGTCTTGGCGTGGCTGATTTCCGGTGAGACCTCTCTCCTTGGCTTGTGGATGGCCATCTTCTCTCTGTGTCTTCACATGGTCATCCGTTTGTAACTGTGGTAACCTCCTCTTCT